GTGTCCACGCATGTTATGTGTAACTGCAATATGTAAATAAACTTGTTTTTGTTAAAGGAGGAAAAAAAAAGGTGGCATAGCATAGTGCAGGGGTGGCCAAGCTGCGGCTCTTCACTTGATAAAGTGCGGCTCGCGGCTCCCTCCCATAACCCCCCCCCCCCCCCACGACACACACACACAGACAGACAGACTCCCCCGCCTCCCTCCCGGTCACACAAGCACTTCCCCAAAAAGAGGAGTGGAACGCGTTTTAAATCGAAATGCAGGTTGCGATTTGGTAGTATTGCGCTATTGCTGCCTTACGTACAGTTGGACTGCTTTTGAATCCGATAGATTGGAAGTAGTTCGAGTTTCGTGTATTGCTCTGGTCTGGACAAAAGTCCCCCCCTTGCTTCCGCGGCTCTTGGAAGTTTTGCAGTTTTGTTTGCGGCTCTTAGGCCGGGTCAGCCTGGCGACCGTTGGCATGGTGGTTAGGTGTCAGCGGTGGGCCTACCTTTTTTTTCTCTCAAACATTTTGTTTTGTCAAGGCATTTGGCGATATTTACGACATCTTGTTTTTACATTAAACACTGAAAAAAAAATGTTGTCGACGAAACTTTGCAGAACTAAATGGTATGGGATTCCCTTTCCGGAGGTGCGGTCGGGGACAGTGGGGCTTGGGTTGCCGGCTGGACGCCGCGAAGCGGCGTGTACTGGTCAAGTTTTGTAATAAGCAGCCCAGGGGCGGCTCTACAGGGGGGCAAGGGTGGGCAGCCGCCCCCCTTAAATTTCTGCCTGCCCCCCCCCCCCCCCCCAAAAAAAAAAAGCTGCCGGGGGGGGGGGGGGGGGGGGGTTGGGGAGTTCAGTCCGCAAAGCAGAGGTCGTGGTTTCCCAAAAGGAAAGTTAACGTCGCACATTACGGGCACTTTAGCAATGGACGCGGAGCATCCGTCCTTTCAAGCCAGCCATCCGTCCTTGGAAGCCAAAGCAGGCAAATAAAATATAAGAATAGAGAAGCACGACACTATTTTTAGAAGAAACAGCTTTACAAGAGACATACCACTCCCGTCTAGCGTACTTTTCTTACTTTGACTTCTTTCGGTGGAAGCGGGCCCAGCAGGACCCCTTCGTCGAGAATAAGCTTTCTGGTTTTTGTGAAGAATTCCCGAAATCCGGACGCGTCTCCCTCTTTTGGGTGCGTGCCATAGCCGCTTGACCTTCAGCAGCGGCACGGCGCTGATGTTGCTCGCGGATTACACCGCCCCGAGGCGGCACCATGTGCAGGACTGCTTAAACGGGAAAAGCCGAAAGCAAGGTGGAAGAGGTGAGAGACACCTCGCTTGGTAGACGATGCCGGTTCGACTGTTCGTCTGGAAGGATTTTACTAATGCCTTGGCTTCCACACTCAATAGCGCGGCTGCGGGATCCAGGAGTTCAACCTTGTAGGTGTCATCCTACCGTCCAACGTAATTTCTTTCCTTCAATTGGATTGTCTTGGTGTAAGTGGACCCTCGATCGTTCCGCTCACTTCCTGGGGAATGTAATCTGTTCTAGGAAACGTGAAGGTTCTTCCTCTTTTGGGTGTGTGCCATTGCCGCGCGACCTATCGGAGGCGACACGGCGGCCGTAGTGCTCGCGGAACGCACCGCTTGCCTTGCGGCGGCCTCGAGTGCAATGCTGCTCAAAACACGAAAGGCCAAAAGCAAGGGGGAAAGAGGTGAGCGGGACTCTAAGCGAGGCCGTTGGAAACAACGCCGGTTTGTCTATTTGTCTTTTGGGATTCCCCAGTAGAATCTTAGGAAAGTATTCAGAAGGATACAAAGAGAGTCCCAGGGGCGGGGCCATAAACTATCACCTCGACCAAACTGGCCCTGCGGGTCTCAACACAACGATCTATTTTCAAGGGCCATTCTTGCTCTGCTAAGTTTTCAGCCTCGGTGCCAAATGTTACCAGCTAGGATGACGGACACGAAAAAAGTGCCCCTACAATTATGCTGCTGAACCGAACATGTGCAGCTGAGCCCGATTTCAAGACTCCAAAGGAGACACAAAATCGCAAAGAAGATAAACCGCAGTTTTTTTTTTTTCGTTTTCTGACAAGCGCGTCAAGAAGCAGGACGGAGATCGAGCAGCAGCGGAAGGATCATCCCCAGCCGTACAGTCTTCCTGATGGCCTTCCCAGCGCTTCTAGCGACGTCCGTCATCCTTCGTCGGAACAAGGAACAGTGAAAGCGACAAGTTTTCTTCTTCGTGCGTGAGACGAGACGAATTTGCACCGTATCGGAGGGAAACGACGATCTTTCAGGTCAGTTGGACATTTCCAAGTATAAGACAGAGTCGCCGCGGCAGCCGATAGTGCACTCTTTCCCACCGAAAAAGTAAAAAAAAAAAAAAGGCTGTAAGCTTTCAGTCTGACTGGTATAGGTTATTTCCTTGGCTAGAATACACCATCCAAGTTAATTCCGTTTTTGGATATCCCTCTACCAAAGCGAATGAGAAATCCACGTTTGGCATCTGTGAAGCTCTGGACAAACAATCTGGCTTTAGAAAGCACGAAACCTCAGTCACGCATAAGTCATGTCAAGATTCGTGGGTTTCCTACATATAAATGAAGTCGAGAGGACCAGGCGAGTGAATCGAACAAGTTTGAGTTTTGAAAACGCAGTGCGATCCTCCTCGTGGTTTTTCCGCTGACGAACTTGCGCACGTCCGAGATAATTTTTTTTTTTTTTTAAAGGACACATTCGTTTAGAGTTTGCAATGTTTTTTTAAATAATCTGGATATTCACTGCGACAGACAAAACGCCATAAAAATAATAAGGTTCCTATTATACTCAATGGGAATTATTACAGAAGAAACAAAAGAGGGACATTTTAAGTACACAAGAGAGAGAATATGGATTAAATTATATCCAATAAAAACGTTCGATCTAAATTTCTGTTGGATGATGCCTATATTCAGCGCTAAGCCCTCCACAATTCCGTAAGTGTACTTTAGGTGAGATTTCTGCTCGTCAGCAGAAAGAGTTATGAAAGTGAACATAAACAACGAAAACACTAATCCCCCCCCCCCCCCCCCCCGAATTCAGTATAATCATGCAGCGCCCCCCCAGAAAAAAAATTCTGGCGCCGCCCCTGAAGCAGCCGCATACTGTCGCCGCCAAGCGCCGTGAACGCAGGCGGGAGGCTGTGTTACACGCGGCCTCCCGCCCCAGTGATACACGCGCCGCTCGAAAAGGGTGACCCAAATGGCATGAGCTCTCCGCGTAGTGCACTACGTAGCGAGTATTCACTGGACGCCATATTTGTGGGTGCTGTTTAGGGCGCATGCTCAGAACGAGCTCACATGAATAGGTTGCTAAGACCGGCAATCTTGATGGTGCAGAATGCACGTTGCAAACAAACTGTGGAAGCTTGCTGTCAGCACGCGCTCAGCATTCGCGCACACAGCTATGGCCGCCAGCGAATACTCCCTTCTTGCCTGATATGCCTGTCAAATTGTGGGCATGCATTTTGTTGTCGCAGAACAGTTGGCGAAACATTAATTTATTCTATTGCAGAAAAATATTTTTTGAACTATGAAAATATAAATGTTGAAGGCGTGTCAATTTACCGCTGATGGAAGCTGTGCAAAACCAGAAATTAGTTTTAAAAGAATCTTGTATAGAATTACCCTTTCCCATATGCACTAGTGGACGAGTAATTGACCGAGTTTCATTCTACTCCGACAACGAAAAACGTATCGGTAAGAATTTTCCTTTGGGCAACTTTTTGTTGCCTTTATTTTGAATTTTAAATTTTATGATGCAATCCTATACATTACGCACTATTGCATCTTCATGCAACTAGCTTTTGTCTGTAGATATTATACGCCTGTCATTGCACCTTGATGGTGTTTGGCTTTGTGGTTGCGGAGTTGTTTTAGTTTTCATTTTAGCACTATCTTCATGAACAGTAACTTCCCACTACCTGGCATACACAAATGTGGTTCATTCCATCTATGCATTATTTCAACGTTAACAAGAATCAAAGAACACATATGTTACGTTCAGTGTGCACATACATTGCTTGGAAGGCGAACAATGTATGCACAATTACGCACGAACGCTGAAAATGACACCGACCAGGGGCCCTAAGCTGGACACTTGGCGAAAACGACGGCGAGGAATTTGGCGGCCGCGATTGGCCAACGCCACAATTGACCTTGGCGCCGGCCAATCATAGCCGCCGAATTTCTCGCCGACTTTTCCGCCAAGTGTCCAGATTAGGGCCCCAGAAATGCTTTTCTGGAATGGTCTATAGACGTTTTGCTAAATTACCCAAACACCAAGGAGCACATGCAGGCTACAAGTGTAGTTACACGTGCTGGCATCTGCAACAGCAACTCCTCAAAAGCGAATCTGAAACAAATGGCATGTGCTTTCAGGCAAGACGAGCGTGTGCAGCACTGGTACCCACATTTCGAGCATTGTCCGTGGAGCTTGGGTAATTTGTCAAAAGATGTGTCGAGTCCGACCTTTCTTTGCCAGCATGATTTCTGGCATGAGATAGAAGATTTACGCCAGCGATTTAACGAAACAAGTGAGCCACAGCTCGAGTGTATCACGTTAGATCTCTCAAAAACACAATTGCTCCTTTTTGTTTTTCTTTTAATTTGGCACATAGGCCAAGGTCATACTTTGTGCAAAAAAAGATTAATATTTATTTCAGATTGCACAAACAGCCGTTTGCCTGCTGTTAGACACTAGCAAGGTAGGCACGGGCATACCAGATTGCCGGCCGTGCACCTTGCTTCCTGCCGGTGACGTCATGTTTGGATAGCAGGGAAAACTGAGGAAAAGCTAGGGAGAACGAAGTTTAGGTTTGGGTAAGAAGCAAATTAAGACTGAAAATAATGAGTTAATTCTTATTGCATCTCTTGGCTTCAGAAAGACAAATGGTGTTGGAAAGGTTACCCAAGTCTGCATACAGCATATATATTGTCAGCAGACTCCCTTTGGACTCAGTTTAATGAACCATAATTTCCAAACAAACACAGACAGAACGCATCTGCCTACCAAATTTATTTCATGACTTGTCAAGGCTAGGCAACATGATTTTTTGCTTCAAATTAAAACAAGGGGGAAAGAACATCCAACCAACCAAGAATAATAAGTGTGCATTATCACAGGTGCCACAACAATAGCTTTAGTAGAACTTCAGTTTCACAAACCAAAAGCCAAATCACTGGAATTTCCTTTCTGTTTGGGCACAATGCAAGGGGGCTCATATGCCAACACCACTGCCTGCATTGGTGCAATGCCAGCCATTTCCCCAGTCAGGTTGGTCCCATGAATTGCCTGACAGTTTCCAGAGTACAGCATGACATCATGTCCACTCCTGCACTGGCGTATTTACAAGCAACAGCCAACGAAAGAACAAGTAAAAACAAATTGTGTACAAACACGCACATGGACACTGAATACAGACAACACATTGAAACAGCACCTGCAAGAGGAAACTTAGGTTTTCAACATGACTAAATTTTTGGTGTGCCTTTTCAGTGTTCCCCTTGTACAAAAAGATGTAAAACAATGTAATAAGATACGCATCTTAAAGTGAAACACAGACAAGTGTTGCCTGCCAAAATAAGAAGCCTCCCCAAAAGAAAGAAACTATAACCATTCTCGCACGCACCACTAAACGCAGCACCACAGGGAAGGTGAAGAGCGATAATTTATTACCTTCATAAACTGAAACGAGCAAGCACAAACAGTGGCGTTACATGTGTAAAACTCCCCGTTCTCGGTGCTTCCTTCCGAACATTAAATAAGAACCTCAAAGAAGAAAAAAAAAAAGATAGGAACAATGCTGGAGGTGCTTGTCCCCTTCCAAACGTCTGGAACCCGCTCGTCCCTCCGGTCGGCTGAATAAAGCTAGGCTGCCAGCGGCCGATCACCTCCCCCTGTGCCTTCTCTGCCCGTGTGGCAGCTTGCCCTCTCCCCCAGCAGACCGCTCCCCCTCTCCCAAAGAAGGGAGGGAGTTACTTTTTCGACAGTTCGTTGGAGAGCCAGTCCAGGCCCTCGTAGAGACCAGTTCCCTGCGTTGCACAGGTGGCCTGGATGTACCACTGCAAGAGGCAAAAGTGTCGTAATCAAACTTTTTGACAGAACGAGCACTTTGATGACAAAGATACACATCAAAGTGCCACCATCGCAAATTATCACACACAAAAAAAAAGCAGCGTAATCAGATTTTTAACAAAAAGAGCATCTCTTGCTTGGTACAATTCTAAACCAACAGGTGTCATGGGGGTTAGTCATCCAGACCTTGTGCAGCCTTAAACTTCTTGTGAACTTCTTGGCTTGCTCGCAGCAAGCACTCGAGTACCCAACATTTGGTGCCACTTGTTTTCTTGTATCTTTCCAAATGGAAAACGACAACACATGCACAGTAAACTGTCATATGCGTGCCACTATCCACATTTGTTATTAAGAACCTGTAACTTGCTGTAACTCAATGGATAAAATTTTGTGTCTGATATTAAACTTGGTGTGTAACCTACCAAATGCAGTTTTTGCCAAGTGTAATATGAAGATGTGTTTATAATTATGCCAAATTTACTTTAGCTTACTTACATTAACATTTATAAGAGAAATTATAAACTGCACAATCCTGGATTATTAAGCAGTTTTAAAATGTTTTATTATAGCACATACATTAGTTGAATTTCATAAAACTGATGTAGTTCTCTGTTGCAGGCTGAAGAACTAAAAGAAGATTTGATGATCCAAGATTACTCATTTCTACCTCAAGAATCAAAGGAACAAAATGTAGGGCTCCTCATACACCAATATAATTGCCCCCATTATGTGGTAAACCAAGATACTTGCATGTGCATTTAAGGCCAGTTATCTGTTAATTAAAACACGTTTCAAACAAATGAGCAGAATGATTTCTATCTCTGACAACCAACTTTTATAACTACTTTGTGCATCATATGAACCATGCTCAAAACTTTCTTTTCTTTGGGGTAATGAGTTGTTATAACATCCTCATTTGGTCGCAGCCTCTTGTCACTGCCTACATTGTACTGTTTTTTTTCCAGCCTGCGGCACATCAGCTTTGCCACAAGGGTAAAAATACACAAAGAAACTCACCTACGCAGCAATAAACTTTGCACTGATTGTGCCTGCACTAATCCCAGCAGTCAGTCTGGCAAAAGGGCAATCACAATGCTTGCCTAGGGGCTACTATAACTAGTTACAAATGCATCGATCTTTCACAGTTCTTTTTTAATATTTACACCCGAGTTCCAGGACTAATTAGGATAAAATAGGCCCATATTCAATAAACATGATAAAATCTAGTCCTAAATAAAAATGACAATGGTACAATTTGTGGGAGGTTACTATCTACTTCTGTAGATAGTAACCTCCCACAAACTCCCCTCCCTCAAAAAAAAAAAAAAAAAAAACTCAAGTTGAAAAAAAAAAAAAGACTGTTCTTGAATAGACCATATGCGAAATGTAGAGCGCCATCTAGTAGCGTGCCGAGAACTATGGTTGCCATCTTGTTAGCGGCGAGAAAACGAAACCAGAGACCCGACCGGCAAAAACCCAATGTAAACAAGCGACGGCACTTCGTGCGAGAGATGCGATGCCAACGACTGCTGTGTTCCACTGCAGATGCAGCGACAAACCAGCGACAAACAAATGTGAACAGGGCTCACATTTTTTTCCTTATTTCTATTTGTTACTTGAGACGCAGCTTTTGACAAAAACAATCGGTGACAACGCGAAGAAACATGCGGACGTTATCTTGCGGAGTGAAGCCATTTACAACTATTAAATTAGGCCCTAATCTTTTCAAGAAGTTGAACCAAATTTGTTTATGACTTTTTTTTTTCTTTATGTATGTTATATTGTCAGCCTGCCTTTTTCTTGATGCGCAAGCAACTCGATGCACGCGGACGCGACCAAGGCTGTTAAGCGAGGCAAAAAGATGGCAGTTTTAATAATCTATGCAACCAACCGTAATTGAAGATGCGTATGGTTAACAGCAGTATGGTTACGTTCATCGCAGTGGCTAAAACTTCTATGTCGGCAGCGGCAAAAACTTGCGTTGCGGACGTCGAATGAAGCAATACGGGCAATGCCAACTTCATTTTACAACCCAGTTTTTTTTTTTTTTCCTTTGTCACAGCCGAGGTAGAAATTTAGTTTAGTGCAAAGAAGCTTGGGGGTAGTTTTGAGAAAGTCACTGTGCAGGTATTCTGCCAGGGTTGAATAAATCTTCACTAATAGCACAACATCCGTGCACTTGAGGTCAATGCTATCCGAAACCAATTTTAGCCCTTTGCAACGCTTAAAAAATATTGCCCAGTGCACAGTTTCTTTTAGAAGAACACAGAACGTTCCACCAAAAAACCTTCCGCCAGTAACAACTAAAAACAAAACTATCCTTGAGTCATGTATTCGCGTGACAGTACGACTTCATGCGTATTCACATCGAAAAAAGAAGTAAAGGTGTTATCAAGGATGAAAGGCATGACGGCCTACTCCTTTCGGAGGCCTGTGCACACGCTGGCGACAACCCGCAGTGTGTAAGCTTCCACAGCGAAGGCATAGGACTTGGTCCGCTGCTTCGACGTGGTTGTCGCCAGCGTGCACAGGCCTCCGAGAGTTTTGTCAGACAGTTGCGGTAGGTTGTTTAAACTGTTCGTCCACATAATATGGTCGGAAGGCGGAAAACAGTTGCTGCGCCATCGCATATTGCCAGTACGACTCTCTCTGATGCCTCCACCGTGCTTCGGTACCGACGACGCTTGCCAACATTAAAATGAAGACGCTCTCAGTGTTGTCAGACCACAAAGCAATATCGCATAAGGTCTACTGTTTGAACACGAGTCAAAGAAAGCATGGCATGCCAAAAGAGTAAGTTTTCACCAATTCCCGTGACTTCCATAACGTTCCAGCTCAGTTCCCTCGGAATTTGCCGATACTTCCAGAACCACTAATACCATCCCCAAACAATCCTGGCTCATTCTTGATAATGTTCAGGGACAAACACCTTTTAAAACTCCATCAAGCAACACTCGCTGTCGCCATTTCCTGGGCACAAAGCGTGCGATTGTATTTGAGCCCTCGCCTGAACGCTAAAGGGGGAATCGCGCTCGACACGAGCCGAGCCAGGTTTGTGCCAAACAGTGATGCAGACCTCGTGTACAATACATGCTCGGTCGGAGCGTGTGATCAAACAATGGCGCACACTTTTGAAAAGGGTCTATTGTAACACGAGGCAAGTTGGAAACTACTTACACTTCGGTTTCTAAGGTTGTTGAGGCCCAGTTTGTCGGTGAGTTCTGACGCAGGCATGGCATTTGGTAGGTCCTGCTTGTTTGCGAAGACCAAGAGTACAGCATCCCGAAGTTCATCTTCATTCAGCTGACCGACAAAAGGACAGAGACAAATTGGCATTAAAACGTGCCACAGAATGGAAAAAGGCTCTGCATCGTCTTTCCACAACTTTCTGCTGTTAACGAAAGGTGGGCAGCGTTGCGAGACAAAAGTATCACAATTGTATTTCTATTTTTGTAATAGAAGTTTTCAACAATATCTGTATTGCTATACTCAAATGCATTTCTGGGCGTATTCTTAATACCATATTACAATCTTCTGAGGAATCATTGCCCTCCAAACAAAAGATCTAGCCTTTGCTTGTGTGTGCTGGAGGAGGGTGCCGTGAAGGAGATGCCAATGCTTCGTTATTATGCAGACCAAGGTTCGTTTGGAACGTTGTGCCTCTGGCCAGACACAATGCCCTTCCCCATATTATGCAAAGATGACGAATGCCTTCCCGATGCTTCAGGCAGTTGACTACCCTCATAGATTCAAGCTGTTAAAGGCAAAGCCGGAGGAGCTTTACAAGTGTATATATACTCCCCTCACATAATCACGAATGGGAATAAAATATCGGTGTTCATATCTAACCAACAGATGGCTCATTCCACCATGACGCAATAAAATCACTGCTGACTGAGGTGCCCGGATTGCACAAAAGCATGGGAATGTCTCAAAGTAATTCAGAGAGACATGACCCTGATTTAGAGGTTTGTGAGGTTTTAACTAAAAAAAAATGTTTTATTATGTATAGAAAGAATGCTAAAAGCAAAAAGGTAACCCTGTGAAAAATTTATTGTGAGCATGAATGCTGAAATTCAAGTTGCACCATAGGGTGAGTGCTCGTTAGTTTGTTTATAATTATATCAAACATGTTTAGAGTAATGTACACCCTGCTTCTTTCTTGTTTTTGCTACTGGGCACACATAATTAGTGCTACAGCTTCTAAAAATATCTCGAATATTTTTAGAAATAGTATTTCAGTAGAGTATTCTGCCGCCAGCAAAATGTATTCTTGCATTTGTATTCCCAAATACGTTTTCAGCTATCTTTTCAGGATACTTCCAAGACACGATGCAATGTTTTTGCAAATGCATTTCAGGATCACTATTTAGCTGTTTTTGCCATGTAGCTCAGCATTTGTTTCCAAATACCTTTAGGGTAGTTCTTCCCACCCTCACAGTTCATGTATGCTCTAGAGTGTTTCCCCCAAGACACACAATATATTACACAGTGCAGGCATGCTTGAAACATCTGTTCAAGTAGTTGTGCAATCAAAGTAGCTATCAAATCTCTAAAATCCTGCAGCAATATGTTTAGCACTGCTACAAGGGACACCTCTTCCTGCAAAGGCATGCGGAAGTTTTCATTAAGACTGAACTCCATGGAACGAATTATGTGACGAATAACTGGCGAACGCCACCCGACGGCACGCTCGATTTGCGCGCAATGTAGCAGCCGCTGTGTTGATTCCACGCGCAGAGCAAACGCCGCTGGGCAAAATTCCTCGGTTATTCGCAGCATATTCCTCCTATGGAGTTCAGCCTTTAGAACCATCTTTTCTTATTATGTTTCTACGAGCATGGTTTGGTGTCTTGACTAATTAATCTATGTCAAAGTAACTGGCAAACAAGGGTAAATATTAATTAGTTTATGAAATCTTCAGTTTGTATGCAAGAGGAGAGTGTGGCACACTTAAAGGGATTGTCCGGTCAAATTTTGTATTCGAGAAAACAATTGAATATCATTGTTATTGCCTCGAGAAGCATCGTACGTGCAATGTCCGAATTTTATATGCCCCTCTGCGTGAGTAATTGAATTTATAGTGCTCATATCGCATTCTAGCGTAAACGTTGCTTTCGTTGGCAACATTGAAGCTCTGACGTCACAAAACACAAAGCGAGCATTTTTGTCTCGTTGTTTGCCTGCGAGTGAACGCTTCAGCGTGCTTCGTTTTTGTTGTTGTGCTCGACTTGTTTCGTGGTTGGGTGAGATTTTTGTTGCGCGGTTGGCTGCCACAACCACCGGGCAGCACATGCGAGCCAAGACATGACGTTCCACACTTTTCCGCGAGACGTGCAGTGACGAGCAAAGTGGATCGTCGTCGTGCGTAGGGACTGGGTTCCCGTCCAGATCGAGATCCTGCTTATGCAGCAATCATCTCACAGAAGAAAGCTACGAGCTGAGCTCTCAGCAGACAGAAGGCTTGTAAGCTGAGGTGTGATGCTGGGCCAACGATATTAAACTACGTCCACCCACTCCTCGCCCAAATCGGATCAGTCAATTTAGGTCTGTTCGATTCGCCTGAACTGGCTGAACTAGTTCGGCAGTGCAGGAACTGGTGCATTCGATTCAACCGTAAGTTGCACGACCGCTGCACTGGTGCGTTCGATTCATCCCAGTTTTGAACGAGTTCAGACCCAGTTCCTCAAAATCTTGCACCGGCTCCGGACTCGGTTCAGCGTCCGTACAGAAGCAGACGACAAGAGCAGACGGCGATAGCAGAACTCCTCGTCCGTCTCTGCTCGCGGTGCCATTTTTCGCAGCGCTTGCTCAAATGTGCGATGTTTTAACGCCGATACGGAGGTTGCATTTCCTCTCATTTATGATAATAACGTACCCGCGGTAAACGCGGAATCGAGATCCTAACCAAGGGTAGAAACTTGCTTGATTATGATAATCTAAAAGCATTTTAGGCGCCTGCTAGCGTAGATTTGGCTCCCTGTGGTGAGTGTTGAAATATTGGATCACGTAAATTGTTTCTTTTTGATACTATGTGGGGATCCACAGTGTTGATATTCTTACTTACAGACACGGGAAAGGTATTGCCCTCTTGATAGTCTCCGCCTTCAGTTGCTCTTGGATGCATATTGACGACTCCGATACATTGCAGAGGTCTGGGATTTAGTGCGTTGGCACTCGCATGTCCCCGTAGCTGAGCATAATACTGCATGCTTTGTCCGCTGGTATCTATGGACGCCCACTAACGGGCCTGGGAAAAACACCGAGAATCGGCATTTTTTGCCGATTCTCGCTTTAACTTGACGCCAAAGTTACGGTCGATAATCGTCTTGGCCAAGACGTACGCTATCGTCAGGCCTTCGTCTTCGAGGTGACCGGTATACCGACCGCGCGTTGCCGCCAGTGACTCCCGACGCAAAATCACCCTGATGCCGCGAACCTACCGTCGAAATGCAAAGATTCCCTTTGAGGGGCATTTGCCGCTACCTCCTTGACTTGTAAATAACTATAGTTCACAACTTCCTGGCCAAATCGAACAGACCTTGATTGTGCAGCGAAACCGAAACCAACAGCTTGGCCATCTCGAAATGACACCAGAAGTTGTATTTAGCACGCGTGCAGCCCGATATCTGTTTGACCTGCGTGTGAAAATGGAGCGTAGCTACGATTCACCAAGCTCGTCCAAGTCAAGTGACGAGTCCGACATGCATTTGAACGGTTCGTCGTTTGCTTCGACCCGCGGACGTCGCCTCTGCGGGAATGACCCGCAGCCTCATCACCGATCCAATGGATCCGCCGAAATGTGTACCCAGATGCCGCTTCGTGTACCTAAGTGCTGCTTCAGAGGCGAAATCTGCATCCTTTGCTTTGCAAGCGCCCCTAGTTCGATCGGCGTCTGTCGCAGTTGTGTTTGCGCGAAACGGCATACGTTTTCTCGAAGCTTATGGCTCTCTGCGAGTAACATCCTGCTAAAAGGCGTGACTTTTTTTGCACGTGCTTGGGAACTGCATTAAAAAAAACGTATTTCAGTAGGGTACTGCCTAGGAGACTATATAATTCGAAACAAAATACAAGACATCCATCGACCAACGCTTGTTATCCCGACCATCCGACAAACCTTTGCGTTTTGTGACGTCACGCAGCATCTACGGATGTTAGCCATTGACACTGCCGAAATTCGGGGTGCAGTTTCGTACATAGGATCATGAAAGGTTTAATTGATAACTGGAGATTATATATCCAAATTAAAATGACGTTTGTCTATATGAAGGCTCCCTCGACGTAACGAGCGCAATAACTTAAGTACTTCCGGTTTCGACCGGACAATCCCTTTAATACTCGACGTCCACTATTTTGAGCTACATTATCAGACTTGGCGTAGCTCCTGCAGTGCTCCAACGCCATCAAAGCTACTGGACGAGAGTGTGCAAATGAGACGCAAGTCAAAGTCACGTGCTCTCGCAGAAGTGCAGGGCTGCAGCACCGAGAAAGCATAGCTGGCCTAGAAATCGTAGCACAAAACAGTTGACGCCAAGTATAGGTGTGCAAGGCTGCAGGAATTCGGACCACTTCGGCTCACGACTGTTTGATATCGTTATGTGCTGGAATCTCGTCCCGTTAAACAGTCGATGCCCAAGGACAAAAGCATGTTATGTGACTACAGTTTCAGGGTTCATAGAGGCTTCAAAGAAAGAAATTCAAGGGTTTTTGAGGACCATTAAGGGCCTGTAAAGATATTGTCAAGGCCCCCTTAAAATACTCTATCTAGTAAATTTATAATATAACAACTTTTTAAAATGCACTGCGAAAATTCTTTATTCTAGGAAAAGGCGCATTTTCTAAAAAGGTGCTAATAAAGGCTTCAGTAGAGCTACTGCAGCTTTTCCTTGATTTCCTGGTTGATGTTTAGAAGTTCTTGCATCTTTGTTTCCGCTGTTTTCCTTAGGCTGTTCGACTTGACAATGTTGAGTCAAACAGCCTAAGGAAAACAGTGAAAATGTAGTTGATGTCATTTGTTGCCTCTGCTTTCTCAGTATCTGTAGTCTTCATGACCCAGCCACGACCTCTGGAAGTTGCACTTCTCGGGCATCGCGCACAATTTAAACTATATTCACCATGTGTGGTGTAAAACAGACGTGGAACAAGCAAACCAGAGGTAGCTAGCAAACAGTATGCGAGAGAACAAGACGAACGAGGGGCAAGATCGCAAGATGACGAACAAGCGAGACCGGACCTGGAACCACCAGGACTGCTACCACTGTGGCCAGGCGCTTAACGGGCGTCCGCTAAATGGGTCCAAATGTGCCATATAAAAAACTTCCTAGTTGAAATCTTGAAAATCCATGTTAACATACACGTAAAATAAATAATTATATTTGATTAATGTCAAAAATTTTATTGCAAAAAAAAAAAAAAATCTGGCTATTTGGAAATTTAGGGGTTTTCACAAGCACCGCTAGAAATTTCAGGGCTTTCAAGGTTTTCAAGGACCCACATGAACCCCGAGTTTGTTCACTCGATGATGGAAGCGGCATTTTAGTTTTTGTAGCAGGTATTGTAGCAGGCAAAAAAAAAAAATGAGGGTCTATACACAAACTCAGCTCTGTTACGTCACGGCGCGGTGGTGGCGTCGGGTGCGCTTCTGGTCTGGGCCTGTGGGCGGAAGTCACCAGAAGTCCGCATGCGGAACATGCATTCCTGCATTCTTTTGGAAGAAACCAGGTAAACACCTGCCTTCTTCACAAAACGTCGCGACTGCCGCTGTACCAAAAGAGTCGGGAAAGGTTTGAAGGTCAGTTTTCATGTGCTTTTGCCTGGTCGGTTCGTCCGAGAACACGGATAGGTGCCGTAAAAAACGAAATCCAGGTGCCGTCGGACCAAGATTGCTCGTGCGGGAAGCATTTTGGGTAGAATTCATGGGTACTTCTGGTCGTCAGATTTATTTGTTTTGTTCCAACATTACGCGGGCAACCCATCAAGTTGTACGGACTACCTGCGGACTACGTTCAGTGCATCTTCAAGTTCAAACGACCGCCTGATCGTTCAAAGTGTTGTCTGCTCTTTCAAGCGTTTCCGCTTGTCTGCTCGTTCAAACGACAGCGTCCCATAGACGGAATGTTGACCTGGTAATTCCGATCAGAAATAAGTGCAGTCCTCAAAAGACTTGAGTTTGAAAGTTGGTTGGGGTTTGAAGTAGGCTCGGTGTAAGCAGTAGACACAAGATGTTTATCATTGTTACGCGTGGCCATCACCGACTTGTTTATGCCCGATTCACTTAGTCCGATTCTGCTTGTGATTTTTAATATAGACGTCGACCATCTCAGCTACAGTTCACAATGCTGCAGCCCGAGCAATGTCGCAACTGAAAATAGCAAGCAAAATCTCATCACGCGAATCAGGCTTTAGAGTCCATTCTGCGACGTACACGCGGAATGAATCCCCGCATGTCAGATTATTCACGCAAAGTTTTGCAGTGTAACGAGCCTCAGTAATTTCGCTGAGGCCGCTAAAGTAGTCAAACATTGCCCAGGAAGACGTAGAATCAACAATTCCAACGCGAAAAAGAGCACGGGGACTCTCACAGATGCCGACAACATTGTATTCCAATGGTTTGAATATGGACGACGGCGAACTTCTTGCCTAAACTCCATCGCGCATGTGCAGCACCGGTGGCGTCCGCTAGGGGTGCTGCCTGTTTGTTTGTAAACATGAGTTGGTCTATAGACCCATGTTTTTTTCTCTCTTTCCCTGCTCAGTTTTCTTTCTTTTTTTAAACGGATATTACAATTAGGACAAAGAAGGTTAACGTCTAATAATCCTGAGCATAATTTGCGGGCTTAGCGTGTTAACCCTTTAAGTGCCTTGGACAAGCTGAGCTCGTCAGCCACTTTCTGTCTAAAAAAGCCATGGACAAGCTCAGCTCGTCCAGTGGTTTTTTCGGTAGTCCTCAATTCCACGGACGAGCTAGGCTTGTCCGAGTAGTTTTGCGGCGCGAATCATAGATGGCAGCATTCGTTTTAGTTGGTAGATTTGTTTTCGCCTCTGCTGGTTTCTGTGTAACAATCTTTTCAAATTTTATGTGTAATACTAGAGGAATAAAACTTCCAAATAAAAAAAAATATGGCACATTTAGGTTACTTTAGGAAAAAAAAAGTGGCACCTAAGGGGTTAAGCCAGGTGCACCCCCAGGTCTGCCGCTGCTCCTAGCACTCCGGTGCAAAGCGGTGAAGCTCGACGCGCACACGCTGGATAGAGGCAAAGGTTGACGCGAGCAGCGCAAGAGCCACAGTACTCTGCAGCCATGGAACGGAGGCATGTGGCGGACATCATAATCAAGTGATCTTATCACGAGTATAAGACCCTGGTTTTGTTTTATCCCAGTAGCCGCAATCGGCAATCCTACTATTTTGCCGACATCATCTGGAAATTTAGAAGATGTCAGCGATCAACCAGCCAGCGCATCAACAGGTCAGAGCGGTTGATTCGCAGCATCAAAGCGCAACATCATGGCATTCGCCGTCTCCTTGTACGTATTCTGTAGTCATCCAAACCAATCAAGTGCAGAGAATGTCCCGTGACTCATGCTTTTAGTATGTGTGTTTCTGGTTGTATTTGTTTGAGCCTTCGACAGTGCTCTGACCCAAGACGAAAGAAACTATACGGTGAGTAGAGATGCTGAGAAATTCATATTTATACCATTTTCCTTTTACTTCTCTCAATATTAGAGCTGACCATTAATAAAAAAAAAAATTTTTTTGCTTTAGGCCTATAGGCGCACGTGTGGCACAATTCTTAGCAAAATTGGCATTTTGGCGCAAGATGTAGCAGACTTTCGTTCATGGCATAATTTGGCACAAATGGATCAACACTTCCATCCCTGTGTTCACTACAGTACGTGAGATTTTTTGTCACAGTATGTGGTCTCCTGAAAACCCTATTTGCCTTCTTTTAAAGACAACTCTTATAGGCATTTGCCAAGCTTTTGGTAATGTGAGCGATGGATATACAATGCTTATGGTAAAAGATCTTGTCTCAAAACCTGGCCAGCAATGTTTTCATACTTACCAACCAATGTGTGGCATAAATAGATAAAGCTTGAAGATGCAGTTTAGATTTGGTTATAGGTAGTCCACAGATGCTGGTCAGATTCAGATGTGAAAAATTCCATCTGGCCACGGCTCTAGTTATAAACACGTTTGAAAAATTATGTTTGCCTTTTTATCAGTCTTGATAATGCCACTTGGCATGTTCTTCACTGAAACTTTGCATTTGCACTTCTGACTGAATCTCCGAGGAAACTTTCCAGTATAAATTTTCATTGCTTCCATCACTCATTATTTTAGAACGACATGTGCAATTGGCTTGTTATTTTGATTTTGTTTTAGCCTATGCTGGAAAAAGAATGCCATATTGCAGTAAGAACTTTCCTTACCATCTTTTGCAGCTCATCTTGTGCTTCCGACGAGCGTTCTCTGTCATTGCTGTCCACCACAAAAATCAGGCCCTGAAAAAATACAATTTCATTGTGTGAGAAATGTCTACTAAGCAACTATAGTCCGTTGCAACTCAAGAAGGTAGGGTGAGGGTAAGACGGGACGGGGAGGAGGAAGCAGACAGAACACTAGAGAGAGGAGGAAGTTTCCATCTCTCTTCTCCAGAGTTCCGTCTGCTTCCTCCTCCCCAGCCCGTCTTACCCTCGCCCTACCTTCTTGAGTTAGAACAGACTATAGATATGGGATTTTCGGTACAGGTTGAAAACTTATTGTTCAGTGCTCCAAACTTTTTATAAAACTCTGTTTCCTCGAATGGAACCTGAAAAAGGAAACGATTGTGTGCACAACAGCATAATGCAGGCTTGAAGATTTTATTTATCCTGATAATAGAACACCTACTGATAACGTGAACACTTGCCTTGTCATTAGGATACATATATTGAAAAAGGCTATATGAAATTGAATGCAGTTCATTAATCTGGCATTAACATGCCTATCCAACTATAAAAACAAAGCATCATAAACAACCTTGGATTCCTAAAAATGTGCCTATTAAAAACACTAAGCACACAACCAGCAAGCAGTTTAGTGCTCATTGTAGGCGGTAAGGCAAAGGAACTGCCACACCCAAGCAGAGCATTCAGAGACCTTCCAAGAACACCAAAGCTACTCAGATTTTTTATAGCGCTACATGTTGCCACCAATGAAGCTCACATCCCTAGCAGCATCAATTGCTCTTTCATCAGCAGAGGATGCCAAATTAAATTTAAAAAACTGGGAAAAAAAAAAAACTATGCCCAAGATTTTAGGTTATATTTACATGCACCTAAAATGTGCAGAATTTCAAGAATGCACCTGAAATATGCTCATATGCACATTGACATATGCTGGATGTGTGCACTTGAAATGTCCTTGTTTTTCAAGTTCCCACTTGTGGCGAGCGTTACGGAGAGCTTGAGTATAAAAGCTAAGAAAGGTGAGTCGTGTGAATTCTAAGCGCAGGGGGGATGTGCAACAAGCCTGCCTCACACTAAGCACTTTCAGAGCCAGGCACTTCTGCCTGTGCCTCCTCCAGTACCTCACCTATTTGTGGTAGACTGATGGGTGTGATTTTACCAAAAAATGTAGATGGTTCAGTTTTACTCCGTAGAAATCTCCCACTAGCCAGCACAATTTCGAAGTTGCAGTGGATATAGAAAAACTGTCAAGTAGCTGCTTATTAACCCAACTTTCTTAGATGAACGAAAACAAAACTACTGCAGTTGGACACATACTTTCTTTTTGTTGTAGAAAAACATCACCCAGGTAAAGGGTTTAGAAAAATGTAGACATATGTTGGGAATGACCAATGAACCTCTTGACATTAGGCAATAAAGAGCTTCAAATGAATAAGTTTCTGAGGGACACTTTAAATGAATCAGTGCTGTAACAAGCTCAATGCCTACGCTATAATCGGTCGATTATATATAACTCTAAAAGTGCTGACATGAACATGCAGTTCTTTTAACTACCATTTTATTTGCACAGGCTCTCTCTGCAGAGCTACATGACCACACCAATCGCCTTCAGAGCCCCTATATGATCCACAAAGCAAAGTTTTTCCCTTTTCCTTTACCCTGGGATGCAAAAACCTTTAAGCGATTTGTACCACGGTTCCATGCCCCATACTAAAGTCAGTACGTTGTAACAAAGCAGTGGAGCATGAGACTAAACAGTCGCACACTCAATCACACTGTTTTTGCCCATCAACCAGCCAATATGCAATTATCAGTTGCAAACAAAGCCAGTGATACACACCTTTGGTATCCATTTAAACATTAAACCGTCAAGGATGGGTATCGGTGCATGCTCAAAGAAAATCATGATGTTTTCATAGAACATCAATCTACTCTAGTGTTGCACACTGCTGATAATGTGATTTGCCATCCTGAAATTATGAATTCGATACTTAGGAACCCAATCAAGGGCAGTTCTTGTATACACACCCTATCACATAGCATTAAAGCGTACAAAACGTTGTCAATAAACGCTCCCAATAGTTTATGAAATAATTTACGAGCCAGAAACACCTGCGCCAGCATGGAAGATAGCGAGTCGCGCGACGCATACCTGGGTGTTTTGGAAGTAGTGTCTCCACAGGGGTCGGATCTTGTCCTGCCCTCCGACGTCCCAGACCGTGAAGCAAATGTTTTTGTATTCCACCGTTTCCACGTTAAACCCAATGGTGGGGATGGTCGTCACAATCTCGCCCAGCTTTAACTTGTATAAAATAGTGGTCTTGCCAGCTGCGTCCAGACCGACTGAAACGAACACAAAGCCAACTGTCACACACAAACAAGCGCACACAAAACGGTGGCTCTCCAATTCTCCCCTTTACCGGATAGTTAGCACAGATCTCTTGTTATTTTGATCGGCACTACGTAGCGCACAACTACCAATTTGCAATAAGTAATGAGCGCGGCGGAGGGAACCGATATCCATTCACAGCCTTAAGCCTAAGATGGAATGCTGTAGGCGCGGCAGGTGAGTTAAGTACGTTTTCAAAAGCTGGGCGCCGATAAAGCGCGAGCATAGAGGCCCCCAAAAATATATTTCTCCATGAATGCAAGGCAACGGTGTAGCTCGCGGTTTGGCATCTGTTCTGTAGGCCTAGGAGAAAGGTTGCCGGCAGGGACTCACCCATCAGTATCCGCACTTGTTTCTTGCCGAAGAGGCGTGTGAAAAGGCTTGATATCGTGAGTCCCATGACTCTCCGACGACTCGGGTTCACGGTCCACACCAAACACACTGAGTTCCACCGAACTAGAAAGGCCGCCGAGTGATGATTTAATACAAATCCTCCGATGCCACGTCCCTGCACACGGATGGACACAAGAATGACGTCATTCGTAGAAACGATTTTGCGCAGAAAATAACGGAAGGAGTTGTGGTGGCGCTAGCAGCTTATAAATTAAATTGTATAAAATAAAATTAAAAAAAAAAACACAAATTTTAATTTAGCGAATTACTATGACTATTAATAATATTAATTACCATATCAAAATATTATCAATAAAACAAGAAAATAATATTAACTAAATATACGTCGAGCGAACGGAAATAACTATAGAGGAAATAACCACAGAACTAACTGGAGCGCGTCTTCGACTGGTATGTTTCCTATCCCGCCCATACATCAAAAGTGGTCCCAAAGTGGCAACAAATTACGTCACAGAAGCCGGAGTGTCATGCCACTACAGCCTCCCTATGTCATGCTGCAGAGCCGTTTATACTGAGAGAGTTTGGCCGATGGGCGGAGCTTGTTGGCCGCTAGAACCAGCGGATTTCGCGATAACACAATATGGCGTTACTTCTTTGTCTTGTTCATTCCTGTGAAATCGCGTAGAGTTCCTATGAGTCAGATCCACAATATGGCGGACGGAAGTAGTCATCCCCCGGTTGTCAGACTACGCTGCTGTGGTTGTCAGACTGCCAAAATCTCCTTAAGAAGGCCAAACTCTCTCAGTATAAACGGCTCTGTCATGCTGTTCCCTGTCGCGATCCTGGCGGTTGGCCGTAGAAATGATTGCGAAAAGCACGAGCGAACGTAACGTTGGAGCGAACGCGAGTGTCGCTGTCGTCACAGCGCCCAAGGCGTCCCAACTTCCGTGGACTGTCACAGGGGAGAGCGACGGACGGCAGAACAGGCGTCTGCCATATACACCACAACTGTTGAGACGCCGCCAGATTCGCGATCGGCGACAGCATGACACTTCTAATATGACGTCATCAGGCGGAAATCGAGCACTTTTTTGCAGGCCATTCTTGGGGGGCACTGTTTTCTTGCGACACTAATCTGTTTCCATGGGAGAAGGCGAGCCCGGTTGCCCTAGAGCACTATTAGCCCCGAGAGCGAACACAAGCGTCGCTGCGGTCGCCGCGCCCGGATTGGGTGAGGTGTACCGTGACGTCAGGGGGAGGACTCCGCTCCGCGATCTCGCATCCGCTCGCTTCCCTGCACCGGTTTCCTGGTTTGGCGTTGTGTGCCGCAAGCTCTTCGAGGAGCTGGACTTCGTTTACCCGGCGTAAAAGACGTTGAGTTGGGCCGATATTGACGGGCTTCCGTACATTTTATAAGTCTGCTTGTCCCTTTAACTTTTAAAATTAGGTTACAAATCCCGAAAGCTATCGGCGAAGGCAATTCCGCCGATGAACCTCCCCGTCCGTCCACACGACACCAGGCAATCTTGCGAGGGGTCGGTGAAGCGGTGGCGCAAGTGTTTCGGACGCCGGAATTATGTTCCTTGCATGTTCATGATTTAAGGCGATATTACATCCCGCTTTCAAGGCATTTGAAGTGGCATTTATATCATGGGCCTTTGGGTGGTCGGTAAATTAGCTCGCGACTTCGACTATGCGCTGCCACTCTGCATGCGCTGGTTCGCAGATGTTTTAAAGGCCCTGCATCTGATGATCTTTGAAGTGCTCGTGGAACAGGGCTGTTTTACATAAATGTAGCTTCCTTGTGAATTAATTATATAGTTTATACACGTATGCTGGCATATTTCTTAGAAGCTGCACAATTACTAGAAATTAGTTTGTATGGTAGCAGCAAAAACGGCCGAATGGCCGCCAGTTACCTTTATGATATGTTTTGAACTGCCAAAATATGCACGGCAATAGTGCCGTATATAATATGGAATGTTTATACTTTTTCCCGTCATTCTTTATTCCAGCCTTGAGTATTCCGAAAATACACCGTTTAGTCTGAGTTATCATTTCCAATTAAAGGAGACACTGCTGCAGGTCCCCAAAAGCTTCCTCAGCCTCCAAAGTCCATAGAGCTGGACTCTCTGACAGCAGAGGAAAACAGGAGGAACAGCAAGCATTCGAACGGCTGTCCAGTGGTAGGTACAGCACTAGCAGCAGAAAATGTGGAACCTGTGTAGGGCGACAGTCCGCGTGAGAAAAGCTTCTGGTATTTTAGCTTCAGGACAATTCGATTTAAGTAAAATCTCAATTTTAGCGCTTAAGGGACTAATAACGAGCTAGACACCTTCGCTTACGTTTGTTATTATAACAAACGTAAGCAAGTAATGTATAACTTATACATTACTTGAGGGTTGATATAAACAAGTCTACAGATACCACCCGTGTAGTCCCTTGAAATACTATCCGAATCCAGCAAAGGTCAAATGCATGTAAAAAATGTTCATTGTTTTTTTTTTTTACTTTGCCCCTGCACTTGGGCTGTCTTACTTGTGATTTTTTCTCCATGGCCCAGACTGTATTTAGCATGTTGCTCGAGCAGCATGCAGCTTTTCTGCGTCGGCGATTTTGTTTAAAAACAGAGATACAAAAAAAAAAAAATAGTATACATTACCTGCCAATTCCTTCAGACCATCAGCAGCATTTATTGTGCGAGATGTAAATCTATAGTGATGCTCCTGCAATTGTGGCCATATTTCTTTATTTTCATATACCAGCAGTGATTCATGAGCTGCCTGCCCTGTCAACCATGCTTAAAATGTTGGTTGAAGTTTCGCCTGTAGCTACACGCCATACCTCAATAAAGGCACATAAAAAAATTTCCACTTCCTACGAAAAACACGCCAAAAAATATTCAATAGAAACGAGCGCGCTGACAGCTAGCGTCGTCACAGCCTCCACAGGGAGAGCGGGCCGAGTCGGAGAAAAATTCTCTCCTCGCCGTGACGTCACCCCGGTTCGCCGCAAGGGGGCGCCAGGCGAACTTCTCGGGCAGAGCCGTTTATACTGAGAGAGTTTGGCCTTCTTAAGGAGATTTTGACAGTCTGACAACCACAGCAGCGTAGTCTGACAACCGGGGGATGACTACTTCCGTCCGCCATATTGTGGCTCTGACTCATAGGAACTCTACGCGATTTCTCAGGAATGAACAAGACAAAGAAGTAACGCCATATTGTGTTATCGCGAAATCCGCTTGTTCTAGCGGCCAACAAGCTCCGCCCATCGGCCAAACTCTCTCAGTATAAACGGCTCTGTTCTCGGGCAGAGCCGTTTATACTGAGAGAGTTTGGCCGATGGGCGGAGCTTGTTGGCCGCTAGAACAAGCGGATTTCGCGATAACACAATATGGCGTTACTTCTTTGTCTTGTTCATTCCTGAGAAATCGCGTAGAGTTCCTATGAGTCAGAGCCACAATATGGCGGACGGAAGTAGTCATCCCCCGGTTGTCAGACTACGCTGCTGTGGTTGTCAGACTGTCAAAATCTCCTTAAGAAGGCCAAACTCTCTCAGTATAAACGGCTCTGTTCTCGGGGCTAATATAGCTCCTTCGGAGCAGAGTAGCGCAATCTAGAACGCCGCCTCTCGGCGACTAGCGGCGAACGCCCGGAGGTTCCAACTGCGGTCAGAAATGCATGGAGAACGTGAGACAATCGCTGTTTCTTCAGTATTGTGGGGGTGTACGGAGTGGCAATTGTTTTTGACATAATAATGGAACATTTTAGAATAATTTGCGCTAAGTTTTGTGCCCCGCAAGGACCTGACTTTTTTTTAAAAATTCCCTGAGCGGCATCATGCAGCAGACGACACGGCGACGTCACACCATTCACGTGACCCGCTCCGGCCAACCCGAAAAGCCCATCTCCGCTGCGAGCAAAAATCGTCTGCTTCAAACGCCATTGCCTTGGAAATTGTCTTCTCAAAATTTGCACACGCATCCGATATTATTAAAACTTTGATAAAGTGTTTAGTGCTTTACTAACTTCACGGCAGACTAGTTTTGAAAAGTGTGAACTCGCCGTTCATTTTTTAATCAGCCGTGTTGTATCGATCTTCATGTATTCTCCCATAGGGCGGGCCGCCTCCTGGAACCCTGAGTACCACGTGACTCGCGCCAAGCCGCTCTGTCGGCCATGTTGTCGGCGAAACACGGGGTTCAAAGGATTGCGCTACTCTGCTCCGTAGGAGCTATATAGTGCTCTAGGTTGCCCTCCATTTGTAGTAGGCGGCGAAACCGTCATGAGGCGCTCCTTACTGGAAAAAGGTCCATTGAACTAACGAAAGAAAACCCCATCCCAACTAGGGTATTATACAGGGTGAAACAAGGAGACGGTAGGCTCTTTAAATCGACCGGAAAATTCGGTTTCTTAACCTATCGCGCTACGACTTTGTGCAGCGTTGCCCACAGATGGTGCATTTTTTTGTAAAATTTGCAAAGAGCGAACTTACTTGAGGAAAAAGTAAAGAAAGAAAAAGGCTTACCTCCTATGGAAACACAGCGAACCTACCGGTCTTCAAACAACACGGCGCCGTTTCGCACGGGACACAAGAGATGGCGCAACGAACGAGCATACGGCGCCGAGAGCCAGCGTCGCCAGCGTCTTTAGCAGACAATCTTTTCGACTCAAGCGGCGCGCGTTCCGCAGGCGGCGACAGTCGCAGAAACAAAAACAGGCGCGGTAACAACGAGGAACTGCAGTTCCTTGTCTGCTAACTACGGCGGCTCTCGGCGTCGTCTGCTCGTTCGTTGGTGGCAGTTGGCGTCGCGACCGCTTGCGCCATCTCTTGTCTGGTTTTTTATTTGCACCAAACCTGAGCGCACTGGTCGTAGTAACTTAATGAAACTTTTCTCTTCTCGAATTTCGCTTTATTTTAAAAGTTATAGGCAAATTAAGATTACAAAAACAAGCAAAAAATAACCTCCCTCATGACGTCCTTGATTGCTTGAGTGGCCGTGAACTAGAAAAGAGATCATAATTACTTACAGCGCGACTGGGACAAGGACAGAAAGAGGAGAAACACAGAAACACAGGACAAGCGCTGACAGGACAAGGACAGGACACAGGACAAGCGCTGACAAATCCACCGATGTCACGTCCCTGCATTCTGTGTTTGTTATTCTGTGCTTCTCCTCTGTCCCCTGTGTTTCTGTGTTTCTCCTCTGTC